CACTGTCGTAACGCCTGCAATTCTCACTCATGCGTTTCAACACACATTTCACTTCAACCTTGATCAGGAAGCAGCACAATGTGCGCACGTTGAGATTATACTCGTTTTTTCAAACAGGCTGTCGGAAAAACGCATGCAGCTATTGACAGCCAGTTCTGCTCTCATTGGAAGGACAGTTAATAAAAAACGCTTACGTTTGTCCAAAAGAACAGGAAATCCAAAGGTTCCCATCAATGTCTGTTGTCGTCCGTCTATTTTTTGTCAACGCCTCACGCCCAAATGATGTGCCAAACAGGGATGCAGTCTTATTGCGGAAATACCTGTCGGTGAAGCCAGTTACCGCACACAAACAGATTATTCCTGTATCAGATGGGTGTAATATTTATTTAAAAGCTCAGACATCATCAGCACATTAAAAATGCAGATAATACAAAACGCTTTCTGTCCTGATATCTAAATGGGTTCAAAAGACGTCTTTCAAACTCTTTACAATGCAAATGCTTTGAGTTTACTGTATGGCGGGTACTATCTGCAAAAGTCATGAAAAGATTTACCTTAGTATTTAAGCTTATATTGGGCCACGTTATTCTGATCCGGTGAGTAGATTTAATCCCGCGAAAGTCGCCCTTTAAGTTAAGTTCATTAAGGGTAAAGAGCACTAATTTTGGCGAAATTGGAAGTAGTCTCACATCAAAGGAACTTCCTACGCTGTAAAATGTGACAGAACCATACTTTGTACTAATATGCATTATGCTGTGGAATAACTTCAAAATAAGTAAAAACGCAAAATATATCCCTCACAGAACCGGAAAACTTTGCCCGAAATATTGCAGATTCAAGTGAGTTCAACTTTAGAAAATCACATTTATTTGACAAGTCAAGTTGGCAAACACAGTGTTTTCAGCAAATCATCATCAGGCCACACATTTGCAGGGGTAATTAAGACTTTACAGTTAGACAGGGTTAATGAATGTGATCTGATTACAATTCATCGTTTACGGAGTCAGCGTGTAGAGGTTCTTGTGCTGGGGGAGGGGTGACGGGAGGGAATTGGGTAAGGTGGGAGTTGATCAGAGGTCAGATACACGGAGGAATAATTGTTGCAGTTTGCACGAAGCGATCGACTGTCACTAGGGGGTGGGGGCGAAATGCAGTTTTCACCTGGCGTCGGGGTCGGCCACGGAAGTGCAAAGGCTTCTGTCAGCGTCTTTTAAAACACAGCACTGGTTTAGCTAGCTGTATAGCCACTACTTCAGCTGTTGCAAGCCCTCGTTGGCTTAGGCCCTTGGAAAAGTAAGCTGGTGTCCGGTAGACAACCTGAAAGGCTTCGTTAATATCGACTGGGTGATTCGTATCAACAAGATGTGCGAGAATAGAACTCGGGATTAATCTAGTTTCACCTTTAATTACCCAGGCCAGTATGTGCTCACGTACCCTCTTTTCCAGGTGCCTCATTGTTCGGCCGACGTACCCCGCTTCACAGGAGCAAGTGAAAGAGTAAATGCACATGGATGTGGCCTTCAAGGGAGTTGGTCTTTACCTCCCAATTGTAGGAGGGGAGAAATCTTGAAGAGCACCCGTAAATTCGCCGCTGGGAATGCGCTTATGATTGCGGTCCTCAGGCGTTTTCTGACCAGCTCGCTTGTTGCATCGCCTAAGAAAGGC